TAATCAGTCAACTTTGTGTGGCGATTTTCTTGCTCGCATGGATGTGTAATAGATGCTCTTTTCTTTTAAAATGTTGGAGGTCATGTTATAAACATGATTCGCAGTGACATCTACATCTGTAGATGCCTTACAGCGGGTCGAATTGTAATTGACTTATTCCCCATCTCGAAAAATACGCGTTTGCGAGATTCTTTTGCACTTTCAAAAGCACCATAAATGCATGAAATGATTCTGTTTTTTGCTTAACAAGTTACTCAAAATCAAGGCAGGATAAGCTCACACCAGGACGCTGCTTAGGCTGGTAAACCTTTAAAAAATTGTTTCTAGGCGAAACAGTCCTCATCACTGGATCTGGCAGCGGACTTGGGCGACTTATGGCGATTGAAGTGAGCATAATTGAACTTTTGATGTCGCAGTCCATGCAAAGTTTTATGATTTAGTTCGCTAAGCTTGGATCAAAAGTGGTTCTCTGGGATATCAATGAAAAAAGTAACCTGGAAACAAAGCAGATGCTTGATGAACTTAAAGCTGAGGTGAGCCTTTGCATTCATGTATTTTTTTAGATTCAATTTAACTATAGTCCTTCAGTCGGGTAAAACCTTTATTCAATACAGATCAGCAAAAATCTTCAAAGTGAAAGTTTAACAGTATCCATAATACAGATCTTTCTTTCAAATCCACGACATGAGGTTGAGATACTACTGTTTGAGGTTTACATAAGCACCGGGAAGTACTCGTAACAGTGAGATTGCAAGAAGTGATGTAATGAAAGATATGCACTTGAGAGGAAATCAACAAACTAGCAACTTGCAATGAATTAGCTAAAATTCTTAGATTGATTAACCTAATCTCAGACCAAAATAACCAACAAGAGTTTCAAATGGGTCATCAAGAAAGATGAAAGCACCCATGAAATAATACAGAGAACAATACTATTTGAGTTCTCACACTTTGTTGAAACAAATAAAACTAATACTGGAAAAACAGACGAAAAGGCACAGCGCATTTTCAATGTCTAAATCATCATTACATGCCTGAGATTCTGTTTTGAGAAGTGAAAAATTCAAAAAAAGAAAATCTTTCGATAAGAATTATGCTTCGAATTGTGATCATTTCTAATCAAAACAAACAACAGTAAAACCTTTGTATGGCTAATAATTTGAGCTTCTAAAAAAGTTTTTTTT